TGTGTGTGTGTGTGTGTAAACCTCGTTGCCCTCAGGACAAGCAGCGGCCAGCAGCTGTTTGACGCATGCATGGAGCCTCCACCAGCAGAGTCCGTACAGGGGAGAAGGTCCAGGCTTTTTTATTTTTTTCCCCTGCAATGTGTTCACATTTGTAACAATCGTATTTGCAGCAGTTATTTCTTGGAGAAGTGTTTCTGCTCGCTGTTAGAGCCGCAGTGCTGCGTAAAGTTAGGCGCAGGTCACCTGAACGAAGGTGGATAGACTGCAGACTTTCTCTTAGTAAGTATGACTTTTTCCTTGCACCTGTTTGTTTGTTTGTTTGTTCGCTGCAGGCAGGAGGAGAGCGGCTTTACGTTAGTCCGTGCACCCAGGAGTCTGAAGTAGCCTGGAGGAGTATACAAGGTAATTTTTGGATTTGTATTTTTGGAATATGTATTTATTCAAACACAAATATCGGGAAAGCATATGATCCTGCAGTTATTTTTTACTAACTTGTGTGTTAACACTGAAGAGGTAATTTAGGCCATTTACTATAGGCCTATTTATATGAATAGTAAGAGTAAAATTTTATTATACAATTTATGAATCTTATTGCAACTATTTTGCATGACTGTAATATATTTAATTGCTACCAAAATTATTATTATTATTATTAATTAACGCTGTATATTTTTGCTATGAGCGTAAACACTAACTTCTAAAACAGAAACAAAGGGAGCACTGATAGAAGTTAGATATTCCCATTTATTTGTATTTTATTATTTATAAAAGTAATAAAATCCAGTTTGACTGATGGTGGTACGCTGGTCGTCATATTCATGTGGTGGCGGGGCCTTTAGCCTTCATGTCATATGGGAATGGTTTCCGTCTAGTTTGGCTGAATAAAGGCGGCTCTATGCTGGAGCCTATTAAAGATCGGTGGTGATGGAGCAACTGCAGTCTGCTGGGAGAGCGGCGGGGATCAATTCTCCGCACACTAATCACACAGCACTTTTATGGGATACTTTCAAATCCATGCATAAAGAATTATTATTAATATTATTATTGTTGGTATTTTTATTTCCAGCCGTATTTTTTTGTCTTTTGCTGAACATTACATTGGCATAAAGCAACTGCAAATAGCGCGCCTGACATTTCTTCTGGGTTGTGTTGCTTCGCGGTTGAACCGCAGCTTGTTGCTCATTATGATGCACATGAAACAACAATTGATTTGAATAAAGGCTCGAGTTCATCAAACACGTCTCGGGCCTGTATTGGACAGACATTTCCGTGGGGTGTTTTCCCATGAGTTGAGACAAAATGAATCATTAATCAATAATAATCAGCAGTAATTAGCATACATTATCTATATATTAGGGAGTTTGTCTTGGCATCCTGACGCGCGGAGGTTAATTTTATTGGTTTTGCAGAACGCAGGGAAGCGTGTGGAAGTGTGCTTTCGGGTCTACAGGGAGTGTGAAGTGTCAGGAGGTGGCCACCATGTTTACACACCAGTAACATTAAAAAGAAATCCCTGAAAAACATATTTAATACGGAATCAACGGTCACATCCTAGAGCCACACGCTCCACGGCCCGGCCGGCAGCGCAGAGTGTGCGAGGGACAAAAAGGGAGAAACAGGTCGATAAACAAATAATAAATTACGTGAATAAAGGTGGTACAAAGGTTTTGTTTATTCCTTGGTGTCTGGGGGAAGCATGGGAGCATGTCGACAGGCTATCAATAATCCATTGTCTCAATCGATTGGCTCTATCGATAACGCGTCCTTCCATCCAGCTTCAGTCAAAAGGAAACATTCAGCAGAACTTTCCCCAGTTTGTGGAAATGATTTCCCTCAACCCGAGACAGTTCAGGCCGGGCCTCTGAATATTTCTTGCACATCAGGTTGGACAAATGATTTCACATGGTGCAACACCTTTTTTTAAAAGGAGCAATTAACTGTGATTACGCTCGCAAAGAGAAGTGTTGCTCTCCGACAGTGGCCCGTTGGGGAATACTTTTCTGCGTCATTTAAACGTCGACCTTTAACGGCTCTGTGGAAACGCACAACGGCTGCGCAAGAAAAAGCTCGCATTTTGTAGTGCTTGCTTTCCAGAAATGTGGCTCTCTCTTTTTTTTTTCTCCCTTTTGTCCTCCTGCGACTGGAGGGAGCGCAGGGAGGCAGCGCCGCTGGCTCCGTCCCCGGAAGAGAGGTGCGCTGCTGCACTCGTGTTCAGACCTCCACACAGGACCCCTCTCTGTTTTATTAATCCGCCTAATTAGACTGAAGAGAGGCAGCTTCATCATCAGCTCAAAGTGCCAACAAACAAACTAACTGCGTGTAGAAAGGACACAGTGCGACCTCTGTGGCAAGGAGTCTGCCTGTATACACTCCTGTAGCCTACATTTCATTGTCTCACCCATGTCGTCTCCACGGCTCCTATATCATATAAGGCCTTTTACGCGCGCACTGAGGCCTGGTTCTGTATTTGTGGGCTAATTGTCTGAAGGGTTACGCGGTATTTAAAGGACACAATTTGCGTCAAAACGCTTCAGTTTCCTTAATCTCATCTAGATGAAGGGATGGCGTCTTCACATCACCTGAGCTGACAGTAGGTCTGCGGCTATGGCGTTTCACCGGACGTCGTTTGTCACACCGGCATTGTATGGTGTTTTTTTCCTCATAATACAGGCCTACAGCACGCCAGCAACAGCACGCAAAATTATTGAATTACAGCCAAATAGATGAGATAACAGTTAACAGTTTATAGATTATAATGCATGTAGGCCTATGTACTGTATTTATTATTTTATTCAAAAATGTACCGGTATAAAAAGACAACTTTTAACAAATAAACATAATCTTGCTATCAACATAATCGTCAATCATTGCGCCTGCTTTAATGACGACGTGTGCGTGTGTGTGCGTGTGTGTGTAGGCGTAGGTGTA